CAACTTTAGTTGTAGAAAACTTATGATATTCATTATTTTCATGTATTTTAAAGTACTCGAGAGCATCTTTCCAATTCATAAACGGTTGACGAACAAATTACTTTAAGGGTGAATGCATTGACGGATTTAACGGTCGTTTGGTCGGCGAAAACCGACGAGGCCCCTTCCTAAATTATTTATCTAGGCCCAGAAAAATTATTGTTCATTTTTTTTAAATTTTACTATAAAAAAAAATATATAGTACAAACTGTAATATCGTTTACAATTGCCATTTTTATTTATAACAAAATAATTTAAATATACAGGAAATACTCAGGAACACTTCAAAAATAGAACATTTTATTTACGAACAAAGTAGAAAAGATCGAATATAGATATAATTAGAAATACTGTTGCTTATAGAATTCTATATAATTTCTGAGTATGAACACTATACGAATATATAAACAATGATTTATTATCGTTTTCGCTGCATTACGTTATTTCTAATGTACTATTTTCCATTTTTGTATCGCAGGAACGCGAGTGTAGCGAGCAGCTTTGTAAAACGGGACTAAGAATTTTAGTGATACATTTATTACGAGCAGTGGCGGATCTACAGACCGGGCCACCTGGGACAGCTGCCCCAGGGCGCCAGGTTTAAAAGGGTGCCTAATGAATCTATGGTAGTTATTAAACAAAATATTATTAAACAAAATTTAAGTGTAGACTAGTCTGTAGCTGATGTAAAAAAAGTGTAAGGTTTAACGTTGGCTGTGATAGACGGTAGCAAAATAATTGATAAAATAATCAAAATAATATAATATGTGTACATATTGTTACACAGGTAAGGTCCACTGAGATAGATAAGAATATACTTATCTATCTCAATGGTTAAGTCTAGACACAGCATTTTTTTGTCTTATGCAATATATCTACGTATTTTTTTCCTTCTTCTACAAGCCGTTGGGCAACTTTTATTTCTCACACATCAACAAATGTCACACTTAAAAGATAATCGGATACTCGTTGGTCTGCTAGATATGATATGTGTTTTAGCCTTTTAAAAAATTGGGATTCTATAATAACATCTCTTATCAACATTAGATATTCTACATCTGAAAAAGCTATAACCAAAAATGAAGCAAAAGGACTTTATCTGGATTTAATTAAATTGAAAACTGCAATTTTAGTTTTATTCTGGGATGATGTACCTACTTGAACGATTTAACCTTATAAACAAAAAACTTCAATCCATTTCAATAGATTTAATAACCGTGTCAAATTTATATAGTTCGTTGATTAATTATGTCAAACAGTTGAGAAGTACAAATATGTTTGAACAATATGAAAAAAAAGCATTATTATTATAAAAAATGTTAAAGAGTATGATGAAAGTAGAAAAAAGAAAAGAAAACTTGCTCATGATGAAACAAGCAAAAATGAAATAGTTCAAAATTCCAAAACTAAATTTCGAGTAAATACTTATATAGAAATTGTTGATCGCTTAACATCTGAATTAGAAAGAAGAAAAATTGCATACGATAAAATAAATAATAATTTTAGGTTTTTGTTTAACTTAACTAAATCAAATTCTGTTGAACTGACAAATTGTGCTAATTATCTACATAAAAAGTATACAAATAACCTACCTAATTCCTTTGCAAATGAATGTCTCCATTTTAAAGGCTATTTAATATCAAAATCAAAAACTGAACCCATGACTATACTTGAAATGCAATAATTTATTATTGAAAATAAATTTCAAGAGGTTTTTCCATACATAGAAATTGCAACCAAAATGTTCTTAAGTATTCCAGGAAGTAACTGTTCTGCAGAAAGGTCATTTTCTGCATTAAAACGCATTAAAAACTATTTAAGAACTAAATTAAATGAAAATTTGCTAAATGATTACGCCGTATTACATGTTGAAGCAGAGCTCGTAAAAAACCATCGAATTTGATGAAGTAATTGACAAATTTGCTTCAACAAAAGCCAGAAAAAAAATGCATCTAGTATACGGTTTTGATAAAATATATGTGTATATATAAATTTATAAATGTTATATACCATATAGTATTATGTATAATGTTTCTATTGTTTATTATTAGTTAATGACAGTTGTATTTTGAAAACCTTTTTAAGAAAAACTATACTTATAGGTCACAATTGCAGTCAAAAGTTTGTCCAGTTAAAGTTGAAATATTTTATTTTATACATACTAGTTGAGTAGTGGGGGAGGGGGGGCACCAAAAAAAAACTGCCCCGTGGCGAAAAACTGTGTAATCCGCCACTGATTACGAGGTCCCTCTTTTGGATTTGCCGACTTCATTTGAACCTTTAAATCCGCCACTGGGTGAATGCATACCTTTACCAGCTCCTACTCTTTTGCAGAATAACACACAATACTTGCAGAACACTCCTTTATCTAAATCTGAATAAACCAACCAATTCCATTGTTGTAACCAAGATAAATTACATTTTCTTCTTCTTTTTCCAAATAATTTCATTGGAAAATCATAATTACTATCTGGTGTCCATGTATTTCTTAAAATATCTTGACATTCAAAATCCTCTACATTTTTTTTCACAATTGTTCTGAATATATTTACCAATATCATTTTTAAAAATTTGCTTTCCCAAAAGTGTTCAGGTAACAGTAACTGAATACATACATTAACAAAATACATTAATATATACACAAATTCACAATTACATATTCCCATTAATAAAATATTTAAATAATTAATATATATACCTATATATATACATCTGAAAATATTTATGAACATACTGTTCAAAATTTAATATTTTTTAATGTTTATATTATAAGCATATTACAAAAAAGTTTGAATAGAAAATATAATTTAAAATAAATATCATAGCTCAAATTATAAAATAAAATAATACCATATACAGAATGACCACACAAATTACCATAACTAATCACCAAAAAATATAAGTACAATTAAAGTATCTTTAAATTTAAATAGTTAAGCCCAAGGTAGGTAGTAGATTAAATATTAATACAAGAACAATAGTAAATATTGAATGTGTTCTTATACAATTTATATAAATACTAAAATACATACATAATATGTCCTTTACAATGTAAAAGTACCTAATGAAAAATAATGAATAGATAGGTAGACAATTAAACATTTTTCTTACTTGTTGATTAATAGTATTCAGATCAACTGAACAGATCAAAATATGAACTGGCTCAGAATCATGAATTGTTAGCTATAAAACAAAATACATAGGTATCTGGAAAATTTAAGACTTAGGCAAGTTGTCATGTTTTTTGAATTATTATATTATAATGCCATACCTCTTCCTCGAGGGGTTCAATATTAGGTACAACTTGTTTTTTTTTAAAAAAAATTTAACAAATTATTGTTCGTAGACCTCTTCATGTTCATTTTTTTAATATATTGAAAATATCAAAATAACAGTTAAAGAATAACCAAATTAAGAATCAATAGAATGGATATTTAAAAGACAAACAACATTTTTCTATGAAACTCAGATAGGTGTGTGATAATTGCACTTGTACAATTTATAGATAAGATTAGACCACGACTAATATACCAATATTATTACTATGCATATTCGGAGTATAGCCTATAATAGACCAACAGCTATTGTTACGCCTGGCCGTGACGGTTCGAGGCTATTAATAACTATTTTATAGTTTGATAAATTATAAACTTAGTTCATGGATTCCTGGTATTATACCTATAATCGTGTTTAATATTTACAATAAAAATGGGTCCCGACTTGTATTTCTTGTATCTATCGTACAGCCAATTGACATTCAATGATTTTAGTATATGTGAAATATAGAACATGTGTTCTACAAGCTATATATTATAAGTTATAACTTCATTTTAAAACAATTATAAAATACTATTGCGTATTAAATATCTGACAAAATAATCGATTGCCAGAATTTGTATTAATTTATATTTTATATTATTCGAAATCACCTTTTGTCTCAAGTTTCGAAATTATTTTTGATAACACTGAGTACTTGTGAATTGTCGATACTTATGTTTAAGTAGTGCCACCTAAAAATAATGATACGTATAAAGAAAAATTTTTAATAACATTACATTTTTTTTTGGAAAATGTTGAAAAAAAGTCATGAGGGAATCCCGCCTCATTTGACCGGCCACTGCGTTTTGTTTATTTATATATATACAAACAGTTTGGGGAAGAAAGACTTAAAACGGCAAAAATCGTTTGATAGGCAATCAAACGTTCATCTGAGGTATAAGAAATCCCGACATTGAACCAGTAATTTTCTCGAATTAGGTTGACGGAATACAGGGTTAAATAAATGATTAAGTAATACGAATATGTACTTAGAAAACTCACCAGGACATCGCTCCACTTTTTCACGAATGTCATTTTTTGTCATCACATATATATGTGATAATATTAATTTTATAGTTTACCGTCCAAAACCTCCAATACTATTGATGAAGAATTATTAAAATACATTCAAGTTGATGCAACACGATGTACTACTAGTGGTGTACAATACACTTCGACAAATTTTATATAAAATCTGTTTCATATAAGGCACAAGTGAGTTACGTTTCTTCTTAAAATTACAGAACTTTTGATATAATTAACGCAATTTCTAGATTTCCAAAAACATTACTTTTTTTGTTGGTTGATGTGTAATGGACTAATGATTGTCCATTGTAATTAAATTGATTGTTATAGTAGACAATATAACGATAACCTTGAGTCCCGATCAATAATAACCTTGATATTTATGTTTAGAAATATCTGGATAAAAGCTATGATTTATTAAATAAGTAGTCATAACATACTACACATAAATTATAAAAGTCATTCATTTTAACATAGTAGCATTGATTTAACATACATATGTTTAATCAATAGTAGTAGTATATCATAAAATATTTTCAAACTTTGTAATAAGTTTCATTTGTACAATATTACATTATTACCAAATATTATTTTAAAATAAACTGTTTATTTGCAAGGGAATTATCTGAAAAACATATATTACGAATACTTTGATATAATAAATCTAACAGAAGATACACAGTCAACCAAAGATCAAGAAACAACAAACCATAAAATAAATGATTTTAGACCACCACATTTGGAATACAGGATTGGAGATGTGGTATTGACGAGAAACATGATCTTAGGTGTAATTGTTGGATGGGCTATCGATAAGGATGTAAGTTTAATGTTCATAAGTACTACCAGCAGATCATAATAAAATTCAAGACGCCTGTAGGGAAATCATAATGTTAAATAACTTGAAAATTACTAGATTTAATTGATTAAAATTAAGTTAATTTATTTCATTAGGACCTTACAAAAGAACCTGAATACTTCTTGTTAACTCATCAAGATTTGATGACAGAATCTCAAAACCATATGATTAGAATCGAAAACATTGAAGTAACCAAGTTAAATAAAATAAAATACAAGAAACTGTTAAATACATTTTTTTCTTTTTATAGATCAATAACGATAAAATCAGCAAATACTTTGAAAGTTATGATGGGTTTAGATACATACCAAATGAGACTATGAAAAAACTTTACCCAAAAGATTGATTCAGAAATTATCAACTGTCCCAATACTTAATAATGTTAATAACTGGGAAAGAATAACATGATACAGGAGAATAGTAATGGAAAAAATTAATAATAACATATTTTAATTGCATTGCTTCTTTTAATTAAAATGTCTAAAAATGTTCATATATAAAAAAAAATAAATACTGAAGTTAATTTAATTTTATGAGTTGTTAAACCAAGCAATATTTTTTTTTGGAGAATCGATGTTTAGTATTCTTCACCGCCTTCGCCTTCACCTTCGACAGAGTCCATACCAACTTCTTCGTAATCCTTTTCCAAAGCAGCCAAGTCCTCACGGGCTTCAGAGAATTCTCCTTCTTCCATACCTTCTCCAACATACCAGTGGACGAAAGCACGTTTAGCATACATCAAGTCAAACTTATGGTCCAATCTAGCCCAGGCTTCAGCAATTGCAGTCGTATTGGACAACATGCAAACAGCACGTTGTACTTTAGCCAAATCACCACCAGGGACAACAGTTGGAGGTTGGTAGTTGATACCAACTTTGAAACCAGTTGGACACCAATCAACAAACTGAATGGTCCTCTTGGTCTTGATAGAAGCAATGGCAGCGTTAACATCCTTAGGTACAACATCACCTCGATACAACATACAACAAGCCATGTATTTTCCGTGACGTGGGTCACATTTCACCATCTGGTTGGCTGGTTCAAAACAAGCGTTGGTGATTTCAGATACAGACAATTGTTCATGGTAAGCCTTTTCAGCAGAGATAACTGGTGCATAAGTTACTAGCGGGAAATGGATACGGGGGTATGGGACCAAATTGGTCTGGAATTCAGTCAAGTCAACATTGAGGGCGCCGTCGAAACGAAGAGAAGCTGTGATTGAAGAAACAATCTGGCCAATAAGACGGTTCAAGTTAGTGTATGTTGGACGCTCAATGTCAAGATTACGACGACAGATATCATAGATGGCTTCATTGTCAACCATGAATGCACAGTCGCTGTGTTCCAGGGTTGTATGTGTGGTCAAGATGGAGTTGTAAGGCTCAACTACTGCTGTGGACACTTGAGGAGCGGGGTAGATGGCAAATTCCAATTTACTCTTCTTTCCGTAGTCAACGCTAAGTCTTTCCATCAATAAAGAAGTAAAACCAGATCCAGTACCACCTCCGAAAGAGTGGAAGATCAAGAAACCTTGAAGACCAGTGCACTGATCAGCCAATTTTCTGATTCTGTCCAAAACAACATCAACAATCTCTTTGCCAATTGTGTAGTGTCCACGTGCATAGTTGTTGGCAGCATCTTCTTTACCAGTAATCAATTGTTCAGGATGGAACAATTGCCGGTATGTTCCAGTTCTTACCTCATCTATAATCAAAATTTAAATTAGTTTCTACTAAAATGAAAATATTACACCAAAATCTTACCAACAACAGTAGGTTCCAAATCAACAAATACAGCCCTGGGTACATGTTTGCCAGAACCAGTTTCACTGAAGAAGGTATTGAAACTGTCGTCTCCACCTCCAATGGTCTTGTCAGATGGCATTTGACCATCAGGAGCAATTCCATGTTCCAAACAGTATAATTCCCAGCAGGCATTACCAATCTGGACTCCAGCTTGGCCAACGTGTACAGAGATACATTCACGCAGCAAAAATAGTTAATTGATAAAAAAATTTGACTTGGTTAAGACAACTCAAAGTAAACATGACATTAATGATTGATGAAAATGAGTTACAATAGATATTCTTTAAAGTACATTACAATTTATAAAGAATTGTAGACTATATACTGCAATCTAAATAGATTGAAAAATGTCCATTCTAATGAACATTGTTTAAAACAATAAAAAAAATATTTAAAATTATTATTCCCAAATCAAACAAGAATACACAATTGTACATAATACAATTGATTTGTATATAAATTAAAAATTAAACTTTCTTCACCAAAATATTTGTGTATATATATATATATATATATATACAAATAATAGATTTTAAAGAAAAATTATTATTAGGTATATAAATGAGTGAAAATTATACTTATTTAAAAAAAAAAGACTATAAAATGTATATATATTAAATTCAACCAGTCATTGGTATCGCAATATAACATTCCACCATTAGTGTTGAGTGAAAGCGCACATTGTTGTTTTTTATCACTATTTATTGTTTAACAAGCATATAAGATTGAAACCAATACTAAATTATTTATATTTAAATATTTTAAAAATATAATTATTAATATTTATCCTGATAAATAAACTGTTAAACTAAAATAAACTATTTAAAACAATAAAAACTAAAAACTACATTATTTTAAAAAAAAACCTTTTGTTCGTACAATCTTTCAAATAATATTTACTTTCATATTCTTTTTTTTTGTTAAATGTGTATTTTAAATAAACAGTTATAGTATATTGCAATATTATAAACCTAAAAGTACAATAGATATTATATTCATCCATGCTGCCTATGGAGTGAGAACAACGCTCACTTTATGAACATAAATAATATTGTATGTCAATATTGTATCAAGAATTATTTATAAAATTATAAAATTGAAAAGAATACATTTAGAATTGTGTGGATTGAATGTAAAAATAGAATCGGAGGAATCAAGAAATAATTAAACAAGTAATTTTCAAAATACCTTTGAGGTAATCACCACAAACCAATGACCAGTTAACAATGGAAAAAATTAAAATAAATAAACAAATAATGTTTGTATGGAAATAAATAAATAAAAGCTTAGTCTGAATTATTATATTTATTAAGTACAACTGGTTTAATTAAACTCATTGATGGGAATATAAAGTCAATAATATCATGACTAAAAATATATATTATATATTAATTTAAGAGTATAAATCATTTAAATTGTTTTTATTTATTTGATTTCTTTTATAAATAAAAAAATAAAATAATACCTAAAAACAAGTCTATCTGAATGGACATTCAGCACATACGATTAATAAATGTTAAAAAACGGCTAGGCGTTTTAGGGAAAAATGATTTGTCAATTTCAATAGACATTAGGTACTTACAACTACAAAACATAAAAACGATTCCGGCGCTAGGAGAATAAACTAAGTAGATACTTTAATATTAAAATACCAACCTATGAAAAAGTACCTAATACAAATTACTAAGGAACACGTTCTTATTGGATTTCAAATGGTTAATTTCTTTCGAAGACATGAACCAATTTAAACTAATAATTAAACAATGTGGATAAAAAAACCATGAGGCCCAATAAAGTAAAATAAACAATGATGACACGTCACACGAGACTCTCTGTTCATACACTAGATACAATATTAATCAAAAACATGACTTTCGAACATATACCATCTTCGTGCTCGTTGAGAATTTGAGAAAGTAGACTGGGAATACACGAAGAGGCAGAATTCCATTACTCGGTTTTCAAAGACGGCCGCACCCACCTAATAATCGCCCGTTGACGTACGCAAAAACACGAGTCAGATGAAAATCTAGTCCATTAGACGCTCTAGGCAACAATTAACGGGACTCTACAGCGAGATTGACGGCGAATAAGTCGTAAACGCAAAACCACGTTTCTCAGGTAAAACGCAAACGCCGACAAGATGGCGTAAAAACCGTTACACACAAGGGGGGACGAAAAAAATCCAAAACGCGACGACGGATCGAATACTAATTATATACGATTGTTTTACTTACCATTTTGAAGTTTGGTTATTTTCTTCAGTAGGAACGAATGAATAAAGGAGAAAAACTTGGAAGTTTTTAGGAGAGGTTTTTATGTCAGACAAGAAGCGTTCAAAGATACTTCGTACACGTCCAAACACAAAATGACGCCCAACGGCCGCTGCGTCCGTGTTGTATGTTCCGAAACAGACCTGCAGATCGACGATGCGCTGTTCGGCACACCGGCATTGCGGTGCCTACGCGGCGGCGACGGCTTCCTACCCAGCCCCACCTCGTCACAATCGCGGCCGCCGTGAATCATCGCCGTATGGCCGACGCACACGCAACCGTTTTCCACCGCCCCGCCACAACTCGACCAGTCACGGTTCAACCAAAAAGTTCGTTAAATTCCGTTTCCTCTCCCGCCTACCCGGCTCCCACCGACACCCTACGCAGCGTTAGCCATTGTTGTTCGTTTCACTTTGCCGCGCATTACGTTTTTCAAAACGCGTTCTTCGTACGGGTTCGTACGTCGTTCGTTTTCGTTTGTCGTTAACAAAAAATAAATGAAAAATTGTTTTCAAAATATTTCCCGTCGAAACCATTAGATTTCCGAACATTCGGTTAGGGTTCGCGCACCCTATTCGATTCACGTACTATTTTTTAACATGTCAAATCTATGATCGAACGCCGCGCAACGATCCCAAAAATTATGCCCGTGTAAGGTACGTGGAAACCGTCGAACCTATGAAGTCGGAATTTATAATTTTTTTTTCCATTTTTGTGACGTTAAACAAAAACACGACGCGCGATGACGCCTGGTTAGGTTAACATTACTAAGACTATTTTTACGTTCAAGATCGATTTAAAAGCCAACCAGTTAAAAACCATCCGTTTATCATCAGTTACGTTTAACAAAGCATAACTGACGAATAATAATTTTCCTTCGTTAACAGTCATAATTGATTCAAAATTGAAACTTTCACGTGTCTCCAAAAAAGTAAAAGCCAACACAACAACACAGGTCATATGTAGGGCATAATGGCAATAAAAATTATAAACATTGGGTTTAAATCCAACTCATATTGATTATCAACGGTACCTACCGTTCAATGTTCAAGAACAAATTCCAATATGATAACGATGAAATAATAATATTTTCAAAGCATTTGAATTTCTAATCTACTAAAATAAAATAATTCCGAATCTTGTAACTAAATGTATTTCTGATTTCATTAAAACTTGTTCAATTTAAAATATAACCAAAGTATGGTACAAGCGTCGAACAACTTGATTAGCTTTTCAGTCTACTAAACCTTCGAGGTGTAAGGTTATTTGTTGTTAGGTGAATGATATAAAAAAAGAACCTTGCATTCACAAAAATATGGTATTCATATTTTTCACACACTTATATATTTTTTTAATTTAAAGTTAGACGCAGCAAACCTAAACGATATTGTCAACATAATACATTTACGAAAACGTTTTTTATAATGACGTTACGTGTGGTGACTGATAATCGATTGACTATGCAATAATGACTACCATAATGCATAAAGAAAAACGATTGTTAGGCAAACATTTGAAAGCCGTTACTCACTATATTATTTAGGATTGGAACGTACACGACAAACAATAGTAGTGAACAACTTATTTTAATAAGTCGCATCGAAGTATTATTATAATAGTTCGTAATTTATAAGTATGTTATATTGAATGAGTCTAACAACAATCAGATTTTTTTTCAAAAGTTTCAATAGCTTTTTAGCGGACAAAAGAAAACTATCGAACAACAAGTGAGTTGTGTGTGTGTGTGTGTGTGTGTGTGTGTGTGTTCATATTGAAATACACTAAAAATGTAAAAATAATGCATACATGATACATATTATATTAATGTTATATTCAAGAATATACGTCAACATAGCTGGTCGCTACAACAGCACCAAACGCTAACATTTGTCAAAGTTTATTGAACTGTTCTTGGTAAGAATCTGGTCTACAGACATGTCGAGGAGGATGCCAAAAACCTCTGGAGAAAATAATCATTTATAATTAGACTCGTTTAGGTAAAAAAGAAGTTGTTGGTGCCTGGGATTAAACTCCTTTCGCTCTATTATTAATCACGATCATCTGCCCGTTGTCTACTTATCCAACGAACCAAAAATTAGAATTAAAAAATGTATACAAAATATACCGTGTCTTCATATATTTTTAGTAACTAATTGGTATTTATTTATATTAGTTTTTTAAGTGCCGTAACTATAATACAATCAACATCATCTTCAATAAAAACTAAATTATTCTTGTGTTTTTTCTAATTTGTCACGCTTGTTGATTTTGTTTCTTGATTGCGTTTAAAAACAATATATTATAATAGAAACACTTGAAACTATATATTGTCTTGCAAGGTTATTTTTCCAAAATGTTATTGCTATAATTGTAGTAAATAAAAAATATTATTTAGAAAAGTAATATAACAATAAGGTACATAATATACTATTACTCCTTAAAATAAAAATTATAATTTAATTTAATTTTATAAGCTATGAAATTAATTTTTATAAAAATAAAAAAATAAAACATAAGATAATAACTCTGATTGAGTTATTTTGCCACAATTGAATATTTTATGTAAAACATATATTGTAGTTCGGTACAAAAGTTAAAATATACATAAAATATTTGTTTAATAAAATAATAAATAACAGTAATAACTTTAAATGACACATTTTTTATTATTAATATAGGTACCTATACACGAAAATAAAAAATATAATTAAGATTTTCAACGTTAATAGTCATAGAGTACAGAGATAAAAACAATTCTTTAGCATTAGTCATTCAACTCATGGTTCACAGAATAAATAAAAATTGTATTTTGTGGTTTCAATACAATTAAAATTGCCCTGTTGTTTTTTAAATGAATAACAAAATATTTATATTATTTTTGGAATGATTCACAGGTAAAATATTAGTGAGTAATTATGAAACACTCAATGGATCATAATTTATAGTCTAAATTTAAAAATGTCATTTAATTATTCCTTAATTTTAAGAGAAAAAAAAATGTAAATTTAATGACAATTTATTACTAATATAATATTAGATTTAACATAAAAAAGTATATATATACATATGTAATTTTTCTTATCTTTTATTTATTCTCATTTTACATACGGACCGGATTAGTGTTCATTTTTTCATTTTTATGTAGGTCAGTGCAATTAAATAAAAATATGGGAATCCGTAATTTGTCATTGGTCATCGGAATAAATTGAATAACAATTGATATTTTTATCACGTATTAACTGTCGTTTTACGGGCCGTCTATAGAAATTGCTATCGCGTTTACGGGTGCAGGGAAAGCGAGATTTTATTTCTACAACTCGGCTGCGGGATTGCACAACGGATTGTCGAGTTTCACCGATCATTTTACTCAAGTTTTTTTATGTCCTTAAACGGAATGTTGTACAGCTGTCGTCTACGTAGTAGAAAAAAATGTCAGTATTCACCACCGACGAGGCAAATCGTGGACAGGCGGCGCACGTCATACGTATGCGCTACAAAGGCCGTACCCGATGTCCAAGAACAAACGGAAAAACTGCGTTATTCTTGCGGGAAAATTTGCGCTGAAAACGTCGCCCGGTTGTGAATCGTACGCGCGATATGCGTGCGGTATATGCTCGTCCCAACATCACCACACGACAACCGCCAGCGGTTAGGACGTCTCGGTCCGGTTCCCCGTCCTCGAGACGCTTTGAGTCGACCGGCAACGGATATAAAAAAAATAAAAAAAACGTACTTTGGTGGGCGCGATCAGGGCCGATCGCGGAAGAGGTTTTTTTATTTATTTTTTTATCTCGAATTTGTTTTTCACCTATCAACCTACGCACCCAACCGGACGGTGGAGTGCACAACGATTACGAAAATCTGACGATTTTCGGTCTCTCTCTCGCCAACCGATATGCGGTTTCGAATGTATGACGACGCGCATCCGGTGAACGCCCTACGTACGGCTTGCGCGGAGATCGATCCGTCTACGGAGTTCGGCTGGACGACGGCGGCGGCGGTGGCGGCGGCGGCAGCGATCCGAAAAGGTGCATGGAAGAACGGCCGGTTTGCGGATCGACTGCCGCTGTTCGGCACAGCTAAACAATTCCAAATATGGTCTGCGCGCGCCACTTCATTGCCGTAACCCCGCTGCTGCCGTTTTCCCACCAGCTCCTCGCACGCCTCTCACCTACACGGCATAGACCCTCGTCGCCGCCAACGGCTCTGGGTACCAAATTTAAATCGAAATACGTAAACGGTCTAAATTTGACCTATTATGATCTTTCCGATGGATATCTGTCACGTATAATAGAATAATAGAATTTCATTTAAATATTTTTCGGATCTATGCAATGTCGTATTTACCATAGGTTACCCGTGGTGCACGAGCCTGGGCCCCTCCACCAACTAATGGGGCCCCCGACCGATGGAGGTTCCGAAAAATATCATCTACGTTGTAGCATATTGGCGTAACTTTAAACAACTGAATATTTAACTGTAGACTTAAAAGTTATAATTCAAAAATAATACTTAATACCAAGGCTGGGCAAGTTAATAATATTTTTTTAACTCAATTAAGTTAAAAATTAAGTTAATGCACATGAGACTTAAATCAATTAAGTTAAAGATTAAGTTAAAAAGTATCGATCTTATTTAACATTAACGATAATGAAAATGGAAAAAAATCTTATTAGGCTCTAATTAGAGTAGAAAAATATACGTTTCTTTATTGGGATTGATTTAACCACTCCAATTTATGGTACTTTATATATAATTTGTTTTTATTAATTTTTCATACAAATCACATATGATAAATATAATTTTAAAAAAGTATCCTTTTCAATGTTCAATAATAGTATAGAAACTAAAAATAATTACTGCAGCTGAAAGTGTAGCTATAAAATTATACAGGCAATAAATGTATATACAGCAGATACAAAACATTCAAATAAACATATATTATTTAACTTTATTAAAATCTAAACAAATAAAACAATACAATGGACAGGTTAATCAAAATGTTGATCAGCTATTGAATTTCTTCTCTTATTCAATGATATTTAATAATATCATAAATTATGGAATAATTTTAATAATAGAGTACAATTTTTATTGGTATTTTAG